ATACATGTGTTAATACTCCTGGTAGCTATCACTGCAACTGTGATGATGGATATAGTTTGGATGCTGATGGTCATAACTGTTCAGGTATTGGATATAACTTATAGCCACGTTAACAATATTTTTAGATATCAATGAGTGTACTAATGATAATGGGAATTGTGAGCATATTTGTACTAATACCAAAGGAAGCTACAGTTGCTCTTGTTATGATGGATACCAACTAGAAATTAATGGGAAGAACTGTACCGGTGAGTGTTGATATGAAAGAAATTTTTTTGTGCAATGATTATCATGCATGGTTTGAAATTATAAAATTTAAAATCTTAAATAGCCTATTTGATTTATTGCTTCAGTTAGCTTCAATTTTTTATAGATATCAATGAATGTGTCAGTGGTGATGCAGGATGTGAACAAACTTGTAATAATCAGGTTCCTTTTTTTAGCTGTTCCTGCTACAATGGCTATAGATTATACAATGATAAATTTTGTTCAGGTAATACTTGATTTATTACTTGTTTACTTTCTTGCTATAATAAAGATATTGATGAGTGCAGTGAAGGAACATCATGTTGTTCTCAGTTATGTACTAACACTATTGGTAGTTATACATGTACTTGTGATAATGGTTATCAACTCACTAATGATAATCACACTTGTACTGATATTGATGAGTGTACTCTTAATAATAATGGAGGATGTGAACAAACATGTCATAATACTGATGGTAGTTATTATTGTTCCTGTCTTAATGGATACTCTCTCAGTACTAATGATCACAACTGTACAGGTATACAATATGGTCGATACTATTATTTTATTGTAGCTACTAGATATTAATGAGTGTCTTCATCACAATGGTAACTGTAGCCACAGCTGTACTAATATTCCTGGTTCATATGTTTGCTCTTGCAGTATTGGATATAACTTGGATATTGATGGACAGAACTGCTCTGGTTAGTATAACTGTGTAATTTTATTTGTATATAAACTCTATATAATAGATATCAATGAGTGTGATACTAATAATGGCGATTGTGAACAGGACTGTATCAATACAATAGGAAGCTATCAGTGTCAGTGTAGAGAAGGATATGAGACTAATAAGAATGGAATAAACTGTACAGGTATATTATTTATTATATAATATCAATTATTGTTTTATGCTTAAGACATTAATGAATGCATTGCTAACAATAATGGAGGATGTCAACAAATATGTACAAACACAAATGGAAGCTTCACTTGTTCTTGTACCTCTGGATTTAATTTGATATCAAATAAGTTTTGTACTGGTAAGAATATTATATTACCTTAACAGTAATAAGTACCTTTATTTCAACAGATATAAATGAATGCACTATGTATAATGGTGGATGTGAACAGAATTGTCATAACAATGTTGGAAGCTACAATTGTTCATGTAACATTGGTTTTAATTTAAAAAATGATGATCATCATAACTGTACAGGTAAAATAATTTGTTTTAAATAGTCTTTAAAGGCTTGCGTTTAAAGTCAGTTAATGATAAGGCGGAGGCCACTCCTTGACATTCGCGTGGTTATCCTCGTGGTCAGTTGTGTTGATTTGAGTGCTCGAGTGGCCAAGTTTTGGTTCTTGGCTGTGTAATTTTGTTTTGCTTGTCTCTCCCTTCAATCTCTCGTTCACCTCCTGAGCTTTCTGTTCCTAATGAAGTTGGCTTTGAGTCTATCCCAGACAATCAGGAGCCCTCCTCCGTATCCCAGAGTGGCAATTCAGCGTCACTGGACGAGCTGCGGGATCTGATGCTCGCCATTTCTAGCCAGCTCAACTCTCATCATGCACTACTGCCCTACACTGCTGCCGTTTCTATTGCTCCCAATGGTCCGTGCTGCCTCTAAAGCAGGATTTACACTGCAAAGTTAACGTAAGGTAAGGCCATACGTTAAGACAGGAAGTGCTGTATAAACCAATGGCCACCGTTTACGTAACGTAAGAGTAGAGATAATTTCAACCATAGATATTATAGACTACGTACCCGGGATTGGAAACAGATCACGTGATCCATTCAAATCAATGTAATTATTCAGGTACAGTCTCTGTGACAGTGAGAGGCGGACGAAAATGCTTGACATGGCTCTAAAGAATGGTCTCTAGTGAAGTCCCGCAAGCTATTTCACCTGTACTTGGGCTCTTATAGTATACTCACATGTTTATATTATCCTTTGATACAAAAATAAAATGTGCTAGCTTTGTAAAAGCAGGTGTTTAAAGCAAGTGCGCTCCCCGTGACAAGAGATAATGTCTTATTCTCCCTCCTACAAACAAGCTTCTGCAACTCCAGTTTCATTTTATGATTAAAACTATGCACAAGGCCATGCTACATGAGAATAGACTGGTTAGTTCTGCCTGCCATATCACTGAGAGCAGAAATCCACCAAAATAACGCCAAAAAGCGGCCGATCTGTTGTACCTCTCCCGAGCGAACTAAGCATAGAAACACAAAAAGAAAGGCATCATCATGATCTCTGGTGTTTTCTTCATGCGATTAAGCTATTTAGAACCAGCTAAATCACAGTAGAAAATTAATACAGCTCATAAACATAAGAATTCTTCATGATTTTCACCATTTTGATGCAAATTCATGCAATTTCATGCATTAATAATCACACAGTCTGTACACGTGACGTCATCAGTTTCCAATCCCGGTTACGTAGTCTATAATATCTATGATTTCAACTCTTACGTTACGTAAACGGTGGCCATTGGTTTATACAGCACTTCCTGTCTTAACGTA